AATGGAATACGTCCATGTTCCATCCTGTAGACTTGCACTTCGATAATGTTCCTTTAAGACGAACGCGTCATGTTTTGGTGAAAAAGACATTGTGGAAGATTCTAAAAAAGTAAGGTTATACATCCATAAAATAATTTACGTCTTTTACTTACTTTTACATACTGCTAACGCCTAGGAGGAGCCCTGGTAGAACTGTTTGATTTAAAATAAAAAGATGAGCGTACAAGGTGGAAAATACAAAGAGAAACTCAACACGTAAAAATCGCCGTAAATGGATAGCTTATTCAGCTTATTTGTTGAAGTCGTTGTCGTTCATCCTTGATAAAAAAAAAACCACAATCGCCAATGTCTAACCCAAAAAACTCCACAATTTTTAAGCACTTAATTCAAACTATCCTCCACTTATTTTGAATCACATCACTCAATTCACAGAAAACCAACATTCAACAAACATGTTAAACTGCAAATGAAGATAAACCGAGTGATGAGTCACCGACCAGCTATTTTTTTCGTTGCGCAATGCCCAAAGGCACATTTTTAATATTACAAGAACGTTACTGTAACTGTGCAACTTAACAGTACCAAAATGTCGTTGTTGTAATGTTAAGCTTTTAAAAGTTGAACTAACGTAGTTATGTATGGTTCCGTCAACATACGCTAATAACATCACATTACTTAACATTATAATGACATCGCAACAAGGTTTTGCATAAAAACGTTGTCAAAGTAATATTGGTATAACGTTAGCCTTCTGAATGTTATTTTAACGTAATAATGTCCCGTTCCAGCGACGCAAGTCCAAAAGGTTACAATTTTTAACATTACAAAAACGTCGTAGAAAGAAAAGCCATTCAAGTATCGTTGGTATAACGTTGATGTTTTGTTTAATTGAGTTGTTTCAAAATGCAACATTCGTTTAACGTACCAAACGTTTTTTTAACATTGCTTGTCAAGTGGGAACATTCATATTTTCAAAAATTGCTCTCACAATAATTATGTGCTCTTTTGCACTAATTGATAATGACGATTGATTTATAACATACAGGGTATGCAAAATTTAATTACCAGTGTAATCACGTTCAAGGTTGAATAGTAATGATAATCAATTTCTGTGTTTACAGTAATAGATAAATCAAATTCTACATCAGATCATCAAATAACATACAGATTGCTAGTCCGCTCTTCCGTTTTTTCCAAACCCATATTCCTGTTTTACATGCCGAAAACACTCACCTTTAACATGGACATACAATTTTTTGACAAATTGGATAATAAATAGCACTCCGATGCCAATTTAGATTATATATGTAGTCAGTAAGGGGTTGTCGCTTTAGAATAAAAAAAATAAAAGAATTCATATTTTCCATTGGACAATTTACACATGTAGCACTTCATAGCGAACCTGAACGAAAATATGTCTGGCGATATCAAATCATATCAAAAAACGTAACGCAAGAAACGCAAGCGTGCGCGGTTGCCGCGATCTCTTCGGACCTAAATCTTGTGCGAAAAGCCGAGCACGTGTCAGAAATGCGGATTTCCCATTAGTTTAAAGGGGTACATGAATCGAGTTGTTTGCGTTCAGAAAAAGTGGATCTTTTCAGAGGTTCTAATGGGCAAGAGAGTTGGCGAGCGAACGTATGAATGCCTTAAAAAGTTTTTCTACTGTTAAAGATTGTTTTTTGCGAACCATTGTGCACCATTTAAAGTGGGTTGTATTTGAATACTGGCCGAAGGTATAAGAGCAAGCACGTGCCATTTTATGTGTGAGATTTTATTCCGCTTATGTGGAAAGATTAATGGTGCGATTTTATGAACTGGAACTGCATTCTATTGAGTGAATTTTATCCAGATAGTATTAAAGAATTAACAATTTGACCGTTCTATAAGCACTTACTGTTTTAATGGCGAGGAGCTCCTTCTTTCCCACACTTCGTAAGTGTACAAAATAGTACCGGTTTAATCGGTTTAAAGTCGAGTATGTCCATGGTAGACACTCATAACCGCCTCCGTCCCGTTAGAAAGGCCACCTTCCTTTTTTCGGGGAGTACTTGTAGCCGCTTGTTCTTCATCCACTTGTTGGCAATTTATATTGCTCGCTGGAAGTTTCTCTCTGCGTTTTCAAGTTTCCTATCCTCCGCTACGATGGTGATGTTATCGACGACACCTACAACCGCTACCCCCGAGGTACACTTGATATACGATACCCCATTGTATGTAATTCTCCACAAAGTTGAGCCGAAAACTCTCCCTTGTGGGACCCCTGCTTCTGGTTTGAACTTGTAAGTCCCCCTATACGCGTTCGGCACCTCCGCCATCCGTCCGGTGAGGTAACTCCTTGTAAAGTTTAGGAGATATGCTGGTACTTCCTCTTCTCACATCGATTCTATCGAGGGCCTGGTGATCCACGGTATTGAAGGTATTCCTGCCATCGAGTGATGCCATCAGACCCACACTGCTTGTCCTACGCGTTCAACAATTCGCTTTCTCCCTTACGTTGTTCAAGGTCTTTATCGCATCTACCACTGACTTCCCTTTTCGGCAGCCTTATTGTTTGGTAGTAGAAGTAGAATCCCTTTTGCCATTTTGGATGGATTACAAAGTCATGGCCTTGCACTCGAAACAAGGTCGTGGTCTTGGTCCGTGGACTCTGGGCCAAGGTCGTGCTCTGAGCAAAGATCACGGTTCTGGATTCTACCCAAGGTACGCGTGGTCTGGGATTTTGGGGTTTCCCGGTTACATAACTTAGGCGTGGTACAAGATCGTACCCTGGGATTTTCCCGACGAATGAATACCTTAGGGGATAGCGTTGTGTTGCCTCTTTAACCGTGAGGGTAGATAACGTGATCACTTTAACCAAAGAGTAACTAATAATTATTAAGTATTCTTTGCTGTAACCTTAAGGATAGGTAAAGTGAAACTGATGATTGTGCATTCTAGTGCCAACTGCCATTCTTATTTCAGCACGAAGCACGATATAAAATGCCGTTCAGAACATATGGCAGGGCTGTTTCTATGGAAATGGCCACGAGGGCAGAACCTAATCTTGCTATTTTTGACGTCTAAATTAAATTGAGGATTGTCAGAAGCTTTACAATGATTTATATGACTTCTGCTATAAAATAATACAATAAAGGGAAAGTTAATTCACTCAATGCTTAAAATTATACTTGACGAAAAATTAAATTATATTTAGTTGCACTTTTGACAATAACGTCAAATTAACGTGTACGGATGAAATTACTTGAAACTATTTACTATTATAATTTACCGTTCACAATTTATAAAGTAGTAACTAGTCTAGATTAGGGCGAATAACATATACCGCTATGACGTTTATCCAACAGCTCATTCTAATTTTTATGCAAAAAATGTGGCAGGTAACTTAAAAAGCTGTCATTTGCATTATCCTACCGTATAACCTTTTTATCAACTCCAAACGCTAAAAAAGATAAATGGCTTTAGATACAAGTTAATGGCACGTTTTCATTTCCTTGTTTTTATAGGAATGATTTATTTCTCAGATTAAAAAGGTGATGACCAATTTACTATACAGAAACAACATTAATAAATTATTTTACAATTATACAGCTTTGACGCAAACATTCGTCGATTGCAAATTATAAATTACACTTATAGATACCATTAAGATTAATCGATCATGTTGGACAACGTGTTCTCCCTGACCTCTTCTGGTTTCTGACTAATTAAGGTGAAATATGTAAATTGAGATGTGCACTTACAAATGAAAGAACAAAGGAAACTAATGTATGTCTACAGTTACAGCTGAAATTGTGTCTGTAGATATTTCTGTGTCCCATGAAGTAGCACATCACTAGCTTATCATGAATAGGAAGCGCTTGTTTTGTACATCACTAAGGGCATAATGTACGGCGACGGTAGATTTTCACTTATGATTTGTAAATTTAGCTTCAATAAAACCTCAAAGGGATAAGACCTCTAGTATCTGAAGGCTAACTGGGTAAGCATATTCTTATCTAAGCCACTAAAACGATTCCCTGACATTGTTATATTTGTAATTTGTTTTGTTTTTTAGTTTGCATTAGCCAGTTAAACTTACCTATGGTATTATGCAAAGGTGATTGTGCATAAATTGCAACACAATATGTTAAATTCTGTAAAATAATTACACGTTATCTAAGAAAATACGCTGGTTTTCCCGCATAATCAAATTTGAATTTCATTAGGAAATAAAATATACCAGTAAACACGTGATTCTAGTAGGTTAGGTAAGAAATGTGGTAAATAACTTTATCATACAAAAAAAAACGAGGTGTAAATCGGGAATATGAAATAGTATATTGAAAGACAAGTGTTACAATGCGACCTATTGTAATACGACTATCTTGTGGCACGAGTGGCGACGCGAAGTGTAGCCACGAGTGTCCGCAAGATAGGAGTATTACAATAAAGCATTGTAACACGCGTTTTTCATACTATTTTTTCTATTTCGGTGCTTTAATTTAATTTAAAAAAATCATTATCAGAAACTATAGGGAACATTAGAACTAACATGTTTTATGTTGGGAACACTTTTTATGCCGTTAAGTTTTAGATTGGCAGCGTAGTACGACTGACATTTTGAAGTTCAAACATGGAAGTACCCAACGAAGTACCTACTTGTACTAACTAGTAACTGCCAACTTAAGAGATGAGTTACCAAAAAAAACGACTATAATCAGTAATCACTGTCTTTGTACAACTGTTTTCGGTCGAAAACAGTTGTACAAAATCATCATTGTGACACCGAAATAGAAAAAATTCATTTTTTGTGCAAAATCCTTTTTGTGACCAGGCAGAAATCACAGATAAAAAATAGCCTTTCAATTACCTTTGCAGTAATTCTCATATAAAGCACAATATAATTATTTCCCACAATATCCAAAGTTCGTGGTCGAGTGTGAACAGTGTATAATTACCTTAGACGTTATGTATTTAAATGAATTTATATGAGGAACCTGTATAGGAATAAAAATAAATGATGCCTTATTACACTCGCAGTTACATACAAGTGGTTATGCAAAATGTTTTATAGGTTAACACGCGTTTCAAAAATTATAGGGTGTTTCTGCATTAGACGCTGTAGTCAAACTTCGAGGTTTAAAGGGAAAATTGCTCTTATTACTGGATCAACACAGGGGTAAGCTTATGAAATTTGAACTAATTTACAACACCGCTTTAGCACCTCTTGGTTACGTCATGTTATGAAATTTCCATGTAATTTGCCCTATTTTTGTATATTTACGAGGGCTGTTCAAATTTAAATTTAAATTCAATTTAAAAAACACACATGGGAAGAAGTTGTTGTCATCATATACTGCACCACAACGCGAGGGTTTAGTGCAATACAAGCGTAACTACAAATTTGACATTTTTGAGTTAGGTTGGTTTTGCGCTTTGTTAGGGTCACTTTTATGTCGTGCAATACAGGTTTTAACTAAAACTTAAGTATAGAGGAAAATAGCGTCTAACGTATGTCATAAAATATTAATTTGTTTAGAGCAAAAGAAGCGTAAATAGAGATACGTTTGTATTGCTCTTACAATGAAACAACGTGACTTATGTTCGTACTTGACATCCGTTTGTGTTGATTTACAAATTTTTGATAAGTAAGCAATCTGGTTGAACGAAAAACGGTTATTTTAGTGTTTCGCGCCAATACGTCGTTGTTAGTGGTAGTGAATAGAAACCGTGTCTTTTATGTGTAAAAATGACGTCTAGAACGGCTAAAATACTGTGCCTTGCACAGAACCAGTGGCAGTCATATCAAGGTAATTACTAGGCATTTTATTTTGATTATAAGTTATAGTAATAATGACGTAATTTAATCACAAACGAATTTTCTTTAGGTAGTATTTTACCTACTAGAAGTTTAACTACGGATGTTGATCAAGAATGGTTAAACGCAGACAGACAACTAACAGATATATCGGCAAGTTCAACTGCATCATCAGGAAAAATAATCGGTATTGTACCTGCAAAAAATGATTCGAACGGAGTGAAGCTTGACGCTATTGAAATTCATGATCAGCAAAACAATGAGGAGATGGACGTATACTGTGATAGCGGTGAAAGCTACGTGCCAAGCAATCAATCGAGTTCATCTGACAACCAAGAAGAAAGCACAAGTTCTACTCAAGAAGTGATACAAGATGGAAAATCAGAAAAAAAAAGAAAACGTAGTCGAAAAGCTGATCCAAGTAAATGGATAAGATCAGTTAGAAAAGATCGTAGACAACACGGAAAAGATTATACTTCGGCCAAAGGCAAGAAAATTGCAGCACGATCAATGAAAATTGTCGACTGTTCCCGATGTCCTAGAAAGTGTAATACGTCATTTCCTGAGGACACCAGAAAACAAATTTTTGAAGCTTTCTGGGCCATCGGCAGTACGGATAAACAAAGAATGTACATAAGTTCGATAATAACTGAAACAGAAAAGGCCGTAAAGAGAACCAAGAAAGAAGAGTCGCGAAGATCAAATACAAAACAGTATTTTTTAGTAAAAAATAATGAACAAGTGCAAGTGTGTCGATCATTTTTTATGGGAACTTTTAATATCTCTGAGACATTTATTCGAAACTCAATTCTTAAAAGAGACCAACATAATGTTGTGCAACCTGACAATCGCGGACGTGCGTCTTCGTCTAATAAAAGACCTACAGCTGCAAAGGATTTTATATGTGAACACATACGATCTTTTCCTACCGTTTCCAGTCACTATTGCAGAAAGGATACTGGTAAGCAGTACTTGTCCTCTGACCTAAATGTTCAAATTATGTACGACCTTTACGTTGAGCGCTGTAAAGAAACGGATATGCATCATGAAAAATTGTGGCTATATAGAAATATATTTAAAACGGAATTCAATTTAGACTTTCACCACCCTCGTAAAGACATGTGCGATAAATGTTTTGTGTACGATCACTTATCCGAAAATGAAAAACTCAACAGAAAGACTGCTCATGAGGACCATTCAAACAAAAAAATTGTGCGCGAAACATGAAAAATGCTTTAAAAGAAGATGCAAAAGAAGGAAAGTGTATTTTATCTGAGTTTGATCTAGAAGCTGTATGTTACGTACCCAAAACCAACAACAACAAAATCTTTTACAAAAGACGTTATGCGGTATATAATTTAACAGTGTTTAATGTGGCTACTACTGATGCAAAGTGTTACATGTGGCATGAATCAATAGCCAACAGAGGATCAATCGAAATAGGCTCTTGTTTATGGAATTATTTAGAAACCAATTCAGATGGAAGACCCCATTACTTTTTTTCGGATACGTGTGGCGGTCAAAATCGTAATATTAATGTCACCTCTATGTTTTATTACGCAATTAGGTCATTTAATATTCCAATAATAACTCAATTCTTTTTTGAACCCGGTCATTCGTACATGGAGTGTGATTCCGTTCACGCTCAAATTGAGAACAAGGCAAAAAATATTAACATATTTCACCCTTCTGGTTGGTATTCCGTTATACAGATGGCTTCCCGACGTAAGAAGTATGAGGTTATAGAGATGGGACAATCTAAATTTTTTGATTTTGGGTTAATTCAACAGCAATTTGTAAAAAATAAGAACATTGACACCGATGGGAATAGTATACAATGGCTTAAAATACGGTGTATACAGTACAGAAAAAATGACTTGCAGCATATTTACTTTAAATATGATTTAAATGAAGAATTTCGAAAATTTGAAACGTTAAGGCGAAATCAAAGAAGGCGTATGGCGAAAGAATTAATGAGCGGTCTGGAATTGTTGAAACCTATTTACAACGAACCATTACCTATTAAACCTTTAAAACTAAAAAATCTTCAAGAATTGTACAACGATGAGACCATACCTCAGCAGTACCACGACTTTTACAATAAACTTTTTTCAGTTGACAGTGAAGATGAATCAGAATAGATATGTATTATGATTTTTATTACTATTAAAAATAAATTTTTTTTACTAATTTTTTTTAAACATAAACGTATATACTGAAAATGATACCTAATTGTGGTAAGGGCAATACAAACGTAACTCGTGTGTTTTTTGAAAAAAAAAATTATATCAATGCCTTAAAATAATTTTTAATTAATAATATGTCATAAGGGTTTATGTTACGTATTGATACTTCAATTAAGCAAGCGCTTTACATTGCTAAAATTAACATTGCCCCAAAAATTAAATAAGAAGTGTAGTAAAACTCTTTTATCGTTGATATCTCAAAACTTAATATTTGTAGTTACGTTTGTGTTGCACTAAACCCTCGAACGTCTCTCCACACTAGACTTGTAAAAAACTGTTTACCAGTGGCATTAGCTATGAACAAGAATGCATTTCATTCCAGCTTGGAACAAGGAATTATTGTCAAATTTCTAACGGAAATGCTCTGTGAAATCTCGACGTGCAAAAACTGCGTTGGCTGACAGTATTTTTGGCAAGGGAATAATATTAGACTAGAAATGCCAGCGACTACGCTGCTGGCCGCTGGCTAGTATAGATACACAAAACAAAAATGTTTCATTGTAATGCCCCGTAACGTATTGTAGAGCGCAGTTTACCACTGGCAGCAATTATGCTACATCCAGCGTGCGTGCTATGTATAACGTGAAGTATATCCTACCCGTGACACCACTCCGCGACACGGACAGCGTTCGCTTAAGTTATATGATACGTGTTAGGGATGTGGATTGTATCATCAAGAGGGTCCAGCAACAGTGTGTGTGTGCACGTTGGACTCCAAAACTGTCAACAGGGGAGGATAAAAACACAGTATTGCATATTGCTCACTCTTTCTTGTCTCTCCATGAACAAGAAAGTGTAGATGTCTCATCTCGTGTCTCATTTAAACTTGAGATCTACAGACCTAACCAAATCTGAAAATCCAGCATGGAATCATGTAAACTACTAATAATTAGAACACAAAAATCTAAATACATAAATAATTACCAAATATTAAATTATTTAAATTTCAAACGTATCATGCCCGCATTTGAGAAGTCAATTATTAAAAATAAAATATCGTTGGTTGTCTACGAGGGATGTCCGTAAATTGAGGTTTCCAATCAATTCCCGTCGCGATGGACTTAGGTAAATCTGACAACAACACCACGTTCTTTGTTTCCCTCTATTCTAGCCCGTGCGCACCGTGCAATAAATCTTCGCGAATGTCTGCAATAGCTTCTCTAATTCGGATTTTTACCTCATCCGCGGTTTGAGGCAATGTTGAAAAAACCTTTTCTTCTAATTCCGTCCACAGGAAAAAAGTCGAGTGGAGTTAAACCGGAAGAACAAGGGCACCATTTCATTGGGCCATTAGTAGCTATCCAGATCTACTTAAATATTTCCTTCAAACAATTTGTAGTAATATTGGCGTTGGCGTTATAGGTAGGGGTACGTCTTGCTGTATTTTTTACATTTTTACAAACATTTCGTAGTGTGACACTACAGAAACTTTAGACCCATGCAAAGTAGTTAAAATTCTCTACAACAATATACAACAAAAAATTATCAGGCAATAAAAAAGAAGTATTAATTGTACACAACTCTTGCGCATTTTTTTAAACCGATATATCTTAGAAAATGGTTGGGTTGGAGGCCCATTACATACAAACATTTGAAGACCGCCAGACATACATTCAAAATCCTCCGACACTCCATTGTGCATATTTTGCCTTGAGAGTACTTTACTCGACAAACCGTTTTTGAGATATTCGCTTTTAAAGTTTTGACATCACCAATGGATATATTTCTTCCAGACGTCCCCTTTGTGAATACCCAACAATCCGTTCTGGAGATATACGGGAGTATATCCGATCACGATAAGGGATCAAGGAGGAGGATTATGGGTGGTAGAAATTAATTCCTTTCGTTGTAGTAGGTATAAATGCCTAAGTGTGAATTACATGGCATGAAAGTTTTGCTACATGGTGGTAACTAATCTTTAGGTTATTCTTAAATAATACTGACCGGGGCCAAGCTCTCCTAACAAAACATTCAAAATGGCGGCTACTTTAAATTACGTTATGAACGTTTTTATTGATGGCCCGCAAGAAGGCAGAAAGTATGAATTTAATCATTAATTTCGGAATTTAGAAGTACGCACAGACAGTGTGACTGTTCTATGCTACGATATCCTGA